ATACACATATTTTTTGAAAGTACAAAAATTACATATTTTCGGTTCTGTGTATTTTTTTTAATTTTTATAATTTAATCATATTTTTTCCATTTATTTTAATATTCAAATTTCGTAAATTCAACAGGAGCAAATACAAATCTGAATTATTTTCTAAAGAGCTAAAAAATTTTTAGAAAACCTTTTTTTGCAGTGCTTTAATTGCTGAAAAGGCCTAAAACGAAATCACTTTCTTATTACTTGTTTTCTACATTTAAATTGTGATCATTATTAATGATAAATTCTATGAATTTATATATTAATATTTATATTTTATTTTTTAAAAACTTTAAAATTAATTTATGACAACTGTTAAAGACGCCTAAATAAAAATCAGATGTCACCATTCGGGTTAAACCATTTTCCTTTAATCAAGCCTAGGGCCAAATTGAAAATATTTGCATGGCTAAGCGGCGGCGATTAGGGAGTTTGCAAGGACATCGCGGAAGAGGACACGCCACACAGCTTGAGGTCCACGAAATGAGATTAATACGCGCTAAGCTAAGTCCTCGTTCCGAACCTGGATCGATCTAATCCTTGCTTAACTCTTTCGAAACGGTAGCTGCAGAATGGGTGTTTTTGGGCGTAGGTAGGACATTGTCGGATTCCCATTGCTGACTGCGCGGCCATGTAAACAGACCATATAAACAGCGGAAGCAATGTATCCCTTAAAATCCCCGATCTTCGATTCTCGATCCTCGACGACCCTTAACCCCTTCAGCAAACGAAACCCCGCATCCGCAGGTAGAGTTCGCTATATATTAACCCACGATTTAGAGCCTTGTTTGCATGGACGCGCTGATCCGTTGGACAAACAAGCTAATCCTGCGGTTAAACTGCCATTGAGAGTCCATCAAAATAAGGCACATATATATATGATACCCGGAAGGACTTGCGCGTAGGCGTTTCTCCACGGGGCGTGGCAACTTTACGGCCGAGAACGGGTTAAGAAAGAGAGCACCATCGAGAAAAGTATCCCTAAAGGGTTAAGCGTAGCGGATTTATTTCGGCCAAAATATCGAAAAACTTCGGTGTGGAACAAAACTAAATGCCTGCTATAAATCTGGCTGATTAGTAAAGTACTCTCGCCCCCCAAAAACTCAGAAATCTAAATCCTGAAATATAAATCCCTTTCGGTAGCGCAGAAATCTGTCTCCTTTTCAGCGTTTTGATCAATGACAAGTTGGTTTTTTTCGCTTCCGTGGCTCGTTTTTCATGGGTTTTTGTTTGTCCGGGGTAATTACGCTCTGTAGTTTCCGGACTCCCGATTGTCGGGGAAGTTCTAAGTCGGTTCTCCTCGATGGTCGATTTGTTTGTTTTCAATTGTTGATATTTTGAATATTTTCGAAAAGGATTTTACTGCTTATTTTGCTTCGGAAATTTTAAGCGGGATTTCGGCTCAGATGAATCGCCGGGAAGTAAACAACTTTTTTATTTATTTGGTTAATCAATTGGCGAGTGGGATGATTGATCGTTAGATTCAAATTAAACATTCTAGTGGCGGAGTTTTACATTATTTACCCAGATCAGTGTTTAACCTTTTAAAGTTTATATATTTTCGCCTTTATTATTAAATTTATTACCGTCACAAAATAATTTTCTAGTTAATAATGAATACCACCCTCATTTCCTTTAAAAAATAATTACAGAGTACCCTAAGCTATTAGAATATTACATCATATTATAATAACATAATTAATAAAATACTAAAAAGTAGCCTCCCTTCTTCCAAAACATCTCTATTATGTATTTAGAACAAACATACAATTTCAAAGAGACCCCATAATTACCATTCTGTGGTATCCCCTATTATTAAGTTGCCCATCCATTTAGTTTCGAAACCCCCGTCAATGTTGTATGCAAAGCAGCCAAAACAATTACCCAACGCAGAAAATACAATGATAAATAATTTAATTGAAATACTGAGAAAACAATGGGGCTACGAAAAATCAATTGAAGACTGTTGGGCGCCATTTTGTATTGAAACTGGTGGGCATTGTTGTTTCGCTTTTAAAGGGGAAAGTCCCCATTCTCCAGCAAAGAGAGCGCATGTCTCCACTCGGCTATCCAATAACTTGTGGCCACACTCACACAACCGCAACTTCGTGTGGAGACCACACACACAGGGACCCTAAAAGATACAGATACACCAAAACCACACTCATAAAAATAATTTTCTACATTTTAGAAAATCGCCCTAAAAAATTGTTCGCCTTTGAACTGAGAAAAATTTTCTATTTTTACGACAAATTTGCCATAAATTTAAGGCAGGTGACCATAAAAAAATATTTTTAGGGTTAATTTTTCTATTTTTCTAATATTTAGGGCGATTTTTTTCGATTTGCTTCGTTTTGACCTTTTCTAAATCCAACGGCGAATTACCCTAATTTTTTTTCTAAAATTTTTCTAAATACAAGGGCGATTCGCCTTAAAAATCACTCCAAAAGTGTGAAATTCGGTAGCCCAGCGGTCTAATCACTTGCGCTTTCAACTTTGCTATATGAGGACTAAGGTCGTGGGGTTGTGGGTTCGAACCCTGTGTGATTCAACTTGATTTTTATGTTTTTTTTTTTTTGTTTGTAAACATTATAATACTGAGGACATTTTTTCGTCCGAATTTTAAATTAAAGTAGTCTTTAAACCTTAAAAACGTATGGGAGTTCTGAGTTAAAAGCATACTTTGTGTTTGCGGGCAAGAAAACGGGAACAGTCGTCAGGAAAAAAAATATACGGTTTAGTTGCCTTTAGTCATATTATAACGTAGACCTCAAGAAAATAAGATGTGTGCAGAGTTTGTTCGTCGTCTTGCGCGAGGGGTCTGTGGTGCAGCGGTAGGACGTTAGACTCTAAACCGAGAGGTCGTGGGTTCGATTCTCGCAATGACCAAAAAAAGTAAGTTGTTTTTTCTCCTCATATTTATTTCCCTAATTCATTTACAAACATGATTTTTCAGTTCTAACGGCTGTGCTGTATAGATCGGACCCCCCTCTTAACGCGGCTCCCATATAAGCTACACACCAATACAATAATATGAAACGGTGTCCTCCGCCGGTGCTGTTTAATTAAAGCAGTCCCAGTTCCCAGAATATAGACGATTAAAAAAAAACATGCTTCCCAAATTCAGTTAAGCATGCTCAAACACGATTTTTTTTAATTTGTCTAATTTTTTAGGGCATTCGCCTATAAAAACAGAAAATTCGCCCTTAATTTTAGAAAAATACACCTTAAAATTAGGGCAAATCACCCTAAAAACAGGAAAAATATTTCTTATTTCAAGAAAAATCACCCTAAATTAAACCAAATTTCCATCGGGATTTTTTAGAAAATTTTTCTAAATACACGGGCGAATCGCCAGCGGATACGATTTATGGGCGATTTTCTAAATCCACGGGCGAAAAGTCAGTTTTTTAGGGCGATATAGGGTAAAAATTTTTATGAGTGCAGATACCGATACAAACATGGCGTCGTCGTCTTGGTCTTCGGCTTTTTTTATGGTTTTCCGTTCAGGTAAAACATGTTTTTCCCCCACCTTATAGATAGAGATATAGTCGTATAGTCGTGTGTGTCTTCTTTTGGATCCAATCGCACGACCGACGAGTGCACGCCCCCAATTTGTGAAAACAATTATTATGATTACAGCAATGATTTCGATTTTGAGTTCGGTTCTCCTCGGTTAGGGAGGGGTCACCATATAGACATGGTCATGTGGCGTGTGTTCCGTGTGGCTCATGCGAATGCCAGCAGCTGCTATCCCACTTTTGCAGGCGTTCTGGAAAATTCCTTCGTGGAAATTGATTGCAACAAATTACACTTAATTGTCAGATCGTTTTTGATTTTTAGTACCTAGCAAAAAAGTTGGTCTTTCGGAAAATATTGCATTTAAACGAGTCCATAGTAATTTAAACTATAAAAGGAAAGGTTTTTTTTAAATAAGAAATTAATAACATCATGTTTGGAATTTTTAAAGATCTTTAAAGAACACAAAAGAACAGTATTTTATATTACGCAATACTTGGACCAAGTGTTTCTTATTTAAAATTGAATTAAAAGAATTCGAAAAGAATATGATGTTTTTTTAGGCGAACTTAAAAAATATTTAAGTTTAGTATATGACTTAATTTCTATCATCTAAACTGTCTAATTGCTAAGAATAAAAATATTTTTATAAATTATACAAAGGACATTAAAATCATTTCCAAATTTTCTACAGCTGCTACAAGGTAATACCTATAACTGAAATGATTACCAAACTCCCTCCCACAAATGTTGGCTATTGTAACGAATGATCTTAATGTTACTCCACGGGAATAAAAATCCCAAATCTGAACACACAAATCTCTGTCCATATCTAACTGAATCGCAACCCCCTTTCGACATCCACACATAAGTTTGCAAACTCGCCGAAAAATTAACGGGGGCAAATGGCAACTGAAACGATAACAACAACAAAAACGAACTGGGATACAATTAATAATGGCAACTGTGTGTAAAAACAAGAAATACATTAACACCAAACAGCTGCCGATATAAAAGAGCAAGGGAAGGGAAAAAAAGAAAAAAATAATAATAAGTATACGAAAGACCTAGCGTATCAAAATGCAACCCACAATCCGGAAAAGGGTGACCCACTCTATAAGGTATGGGGTGTACCAGTACCGTATAGCTCTCTCTCTATAAGGTCTCTCTGTTTATATTTATTTGTGTGCGTGGCGTCGGCGTTTTTCGTGTTTCCCTGTCGGCGGCAATTAGCAATGCGAATGGGAAAAATAAATCTGAGCGGAAAAGAGAGGTGCTGTGAAAGCGAGACGACATAACATTCGTTCCACAGCGCTGATTGGTCGATTCGAGAACCACCCCCGATAACACCTCTGAAGACTCTGTACGACAAAGAGAAAAAAAAGAAAACCGGACCGACTGCGATTGGGAATTATTGGGAATTCTCGTTTTTAGTCTACACTGAAAGCCCCAGAGCAACGGACGTGAAATCGTGTATTTTTGTGGGCTGTGTATTATATCGTCGAGCGTCGGTAAAACTGAACGTAGAAACGAGATAAACTGAACGAAAGAGCCCAATTTGAATAGATAGTGAATTGGAAATAAGAAAATAAAGTCATTTCAAGTTTATAATAAATCTTTAAAGTTCTTAAAAAAAACTTTATAAACAAAATCCCCAAAGGCCATGTGGTTTAATTGAACCAGCTGACCCGAACAACATGGTGAAGATCGAGGAAGGTCTGCCGTCCAGCGAGATCAGTGCCCATAGTCAGCACCACTTTCAGCACCACCACCCACCACACCACCCGCTGCCACCCATCAGCCACCCACATCACCCGCTCCAAAGTACCCATCCCGTGGGTCTCAACCTCACCAATCTGATGAAAATGGCCAGAACGCCCCATTTAAAGTCCAGTTTCTCCATAAATGCCATACTACCCGAAACTTTGGAGCATCACGATGACGGCGACGAAGAAGAGGAAGTGGAGAAAAAGTCGCCGGCGAAATACCCCCCCAATCACAATAATAATAATCTGAATGCTACAAACTGGGGCGGTTCGGAGGATCAGGAGGCGGAAAGTGATCCCGAATCGGATCTAGATGTGACCTCCATGTCGCCGGCTCCAGTTTTGAATACCAACGAAAGCGATCCCGATGAAGTGGATGCGGATGAGGAGTTCGGAGTGGATGAGGATGTGGAGTGTGATGGTGAGACCACCGATGGCGATGCCGAGAATAAATCCACGGATGGCAAACCGGTGAAGGATAAGAAGGGCAATGAGAAACCGCCGTATAGCTATAATGCCCTCATCATGATGGCCATTCGGCAGAGCCAGGAGAAGCGTCTCACCTTGAATGGTATATACGAATACATCATGACCAATCATCCGTACTACAGGGACAACAAACAGGGCTGGCAGAACTCCATCCGGCACAATCTTAGTCTCAACAAGTGCTTTGTGAAGGTGCCGCGGCACTACGATGATCCCGGGAAGGGCAACTACTGGATGTTGGATCCCTCGGCGGAGGATGTTTTCATCGGAGGATCGACGGGCAAGTTGAGGAGGAGAACCACAGCTGCCTCTCGCTCGAGATTAGCGGCATTCAAGAGATCCCTGATAGGACCCATGTTCCCGGGACTAGCCGCCTATCCTCAATTTGGCCAGTTCTTGACCTATCCACCGACGGCACCAAGTTTGCTGGCCAGCATGTATCAGCGTTACAATCCCTTTGCCCCGAAAAGTGGCCCTGGACCAGGAGGACATCCGGGTATGGGCTTACCACCGGGACATCCAGGACACTCGCCACCGGTAGGACCTCCACCACCGCCGCCCCCCTTTGTTGCACCACCGCCCACGACGAGCAGCGAACTCTACCAGCGATTGCAGTACCAACAGTTGTTGCATCAACACGCCGCCGCCGCCGCTTTGGCGGCTCATCAGCGGCAACTTTCGGTGGTGGCAGCCTCGGCAGCGGCACAACAACAACAACAAGCACCGCCTCCGCAGCACCACGCCCACCTGGCATCCCATTCGCCGGGCGGGGATTCCCCGGGACCCTCGCCACAGCCCTCGCCGCTCATCAAACCCGTCACCGTTGTCTCCCGCAACAGCTGAAGATTCTGCTGGAGGAGAATCCCCATCTGTAGCTCATAAGTAATCACTGTACATAGATATAGCCGCGACTGAGGCGCTAGACGCTTGTAAATAGTTGAAGAATAGGGGGAAAGATAAGAAAATCAAGCAGGAGCTGGAAAATTCGGTTAACCGAATTTAATAAGAACCTTTGCAGAGTTGGAAAACAAAACTTAAAGTAAATTTGAATAAAATATATATATAATAATAAAATATATATATCAATTTCACTTTAATACCTAAAACATATAATCCCAAAACAAAATGAATTAAAATGTTTTTTTTATATATTGCAATTATGTATTTTTTTCAAGGCACAACAACCGCTAAAAATCAAAATATTATTCCGTACTAAACCAATTAATGTCTGTCATAAACGAAAAAGGCCATGAAAAGCTTATGATTCATCACCTTGAAATTGTTATAAAAAATTCTTGTATATGGAGCAAACTTAAAAACCCTCAAAAACCCGATAAAAATACCTCTGCAAAGGCTTTTCCAAGCGAGTGTTTCAAAGTTGGTAACTTGTTGTCACATATCTACAAAATATGTATGTAATTTTATTAACGATACTTAAGCGCTGCAGGCAAAGAACTAAGCACTATTTAATTTATATATATTATTGTAAATTTAGACACCGAACGAAGCGATGACGAAACCAATTAAAATTCTATTGAAATAAAAATTAAAAAACAAAAAGAAATGTGGAAAATTAATTAGATCTGCGGGGGAGCTTGGGAATTGCTGGTGACGACGGGTGTTAAATTGAACTGCAGTGGCCGCTAAATGAATCTGTTGTCGCGACAAACTTGTCGGCAATCGGACAATCCGACAAACAGGAAGTCCTTAATAACCGGCAGGCGTATAGTCATATATGAGTATATGTAGCTATACTTGTGGGGATGTGGTAAAAGTAGCGCTAAAAGCCACTGCCAAGTGTCAAATCAAATCAAATTTTAGCGCATGTCCTACACACGACAACAAATATAAGGAAAAATAGCATGAGGAAAGTTTGGCCTCAGTCATGGAATTTTGTATCTAAAAATACAAATAAATTAAACAACTTGTTATCATAATTTCACTATTTTTATTTTTTTAGTGTATAATTATTTTATTATTATTATAAAATAAAAAATATAACGATTATAATCGGTATAAATATGATAAATATAACGAGGGATAAGTAAATAAGAATTACAATTGCAATATTCAAACGATTATATAATTTTGTTTAATTTTGTAGGTATAAAAATGTCACTTTATTTTTGATTTACTATATTGTGTCTATATGGCAAATGAAATGAATAACATCAGTACAGTCCCCAGTGTTCATTAGGCCATTTAATAAGTAAACGCATATGTTGCTGGTGTTATTATATGTTTTGGGATTATCGATGTTCCACTTAAAGAATGTCGCTGGCTTCATGGTCTCCTCAGAAAGAAACTCCGCGCCTCCATTATTACTAAAGATGCCCAGCCAGTACTTATCATTAGGATTTAATTTCGCATTGAGGGCAGTCAGTTCCTCTTCGCTTTGTATTGTTGCTAGATAAAGGTCATAGGCATGGCAGTAACTTCTTGCAGTGAGCCAACGTGCAAAGGAGTCTTTCATAAGTTTAAAATCCCTAAAACCAATCAACACATATGGCGAATTTCTTGCCGATCTTCTTACCGGTACCATACTATAATGATTACGATATGGGATACTGGCCTGACTTGCCTCAGTTTCTTGCTTATTCTCCGTAGATCTGGACTGCCGATGATGTGTATTACTGTCCTTACAATTCTGCTGCATGTGTGTCGCCTGGCTATCTATTTTTTCCATTATTACTCTCTGCTGGTTGATAATCTGATTTAGGATCTGCGTTAAGTTTTGCGGAATTTTGTTCGTAAATGTATTCTGTAGCCCTGAGATTTGTCGTTCGATGGATCCCAATTTGTACTAAGGGCGGTAAAAATAGTTGGAAAAGATCAGATAGCAGCCACATTACCCATTAAAAAATACTAACGTTAATATTATTGAATCGATCATCATAGGATCCAGAAACTTCACACAGATTTAGGGCCAGAAAGGCAAACCAAAAATAAATGACTAAGTTTGTCATTTTAAGAGCTTAGAACTGCTAAAGTCGAATGTTTCGAATGAACTGATTTCGGATTTTGCTCGTGACTTTGGACGAGCCTTCAATTGCGTTGATAAGCATTTTCTGAGCATTTAGGAATAGTTCTATACCCTGTACTTCTCGATAAAAAGAATATTAATAGTTGTTTCTTATGAAATTCGCAATACCCAGAAAAGCGAATAATTAAACTTATTTACAAATTGATGGGAACTCTTTAGTCTGATTTTTCTTCTTTCTTTTTATCACACAACTTTGCGCCAGAATTTTTAGGTTTCCGGTATATTACGATATTTTTTTATCGGGCTTGTGTTGTTTAATTTTGTACAAAAAGCCTCATGATTTTAATTATAACTCGATTGCAAAAATGTCAATTAAATAATTATTTTAGCTGCCTCTCTTAAACTGTAAATATTTTTCCCAATATTCTGTTAAAGATTATGGCGCCTAGAAAATCATTTAGCCATATTTTTTAGACGGAATTAATGCCCCGTTCTTTGGCTGGGCTTTAATAACCACTCATTTTTCTTAGTCCCTGTCTGGCACACCTCGACTGCAGTTCGATCTTTCAGCTCGATTCACTTGCTCACTCCCATGACCGAGGTGATGATTCATCGCTTAGCCGACAGAGGTTAACAAACTGCGATTGTGCAACTGCACCTTACGGGGCGTATGCGTGATATTCGCATCCATCTAGATGACAATTGCCGGCTGACATTTCTCAGTTGCACATTTCAATTGAGGCGAAAATCTTAGACAACAGTTGTTGAGGGAATGGAAATGGGATTCGGAATGCGAATGAGATTATCCAATTCACTTAGTTAATACCCGTCGTATTCGTAGTCGTCGTCTGTTCCTGCAAAACTGCATTTGTTGTTACAGTTTTCAATTGCGTTTTGCCTGCTACTCAATTCCATTCAAGTTGCCAATTATGCGACCATTATTCAATCAAAGTAAATTTATTTGTTTGTCTCTTTTCCACGTAAATCTCTCTTTCTCAGGAGGCCCCCTGAGAATTCCCCATTTCTTTCAATTTATTCGCCTTGCGCGACGGATTATTGTCTGTATAAACATCTCGAGCGAATTATCCCCATATATTCGGTGAACGATTCACGCTCACAATCACAATGATGTCACAGGCAGTTGACTCAATTAACTCAGGCTTCTCGGGTTGTGTCGTCTGAGGCCTAAGTTCAAGAAACTTTATGTCGCAAAGAGCGCCGAGAATTGCGCTAAACTCTGATTTAGATTGAATGTGGCGCCAGTTTGTTGTGGGTTTTGTAATACTCTTGATTAGCCCATTAGACGACTGCGAGTTGATATTACAGAAAATGTTGCAATGGTTTAGAGGTTAAGATAAGTCAGAAATTCTATATTCCAGTTGGACGGGGTATTTAACTCAAAAATAAGTATTTTATATTTAATCAGTTTTTTATAAGGAATATTTTATGACCTTATGCTGGTTAAAATTTATTTTTAAAAGATATTTAATCTTGTTTGTTTTGGTAAAATCTTTTTATATAGGCCAAATCGAAATGGCATATATTTTTAGAAAATCAGCCATACAGTTATTCGAATTTCAGTCCTATGAATATTTTTTAAAAACATGCTTTGTGATACCCTATAGAGTACACCTCCCAATTTGCGTTGCCAACCCACTCATTAACACCTCGGGTCCTCGGACAACCACCAAGAGCTACCCACTCAACCCCAAAAATTTTGGTAACTTAAAAAAAAAGCGAGCAAGAAGAAGAGAACATCTGACGGGACCCTGACAGCCCTGGGATCTTTTGTTTGACTTGTGGCATGGCTAAACTGTAATAATTGGATGAGGCGAGACCGATGATCATCAGCATAATGACGAAGTCGATGGGGTCTTTCAAATGATGATTGCGATGATTATGATGTGTGTGTGCGTTCAGTGCAGCACAACTGTGACTGGCATGAAGAAATCATTTTATTATTTTCAAAATTATAGCATGCAACATCGATACACAACAAGCCGCAACTAAAGCGGCAAACGTCAGAGGAACAATGGTGGATCAAAGGAGGCGAGAATTGGATGGAGAAGCAGAGGGGCAGGGGACTAATGACGATAATTGCACACACCTCATATTTAGGAGTCGGCTCTATTCACTTGGGTTATAAACACAGACATTAACACCTGACCAGGCCAGCGACAAAAGTTTTTCTTTCTTCCAGATGCACGGAAAAAAATCATTGGATTTTAGATAAGATTTTAAGCAGCTATAATAATTCAGTACTTATTAATTTGTCATAATTGTAAAAGCATGGATAAAAAGTACAGTGTTGTAAATGGTATTAATTCCATTATTTAGGAACTTGTTAAAAATAATGCTTTTGGTACTAATTTAATTCAATATATTAAAATAATTATAGACTAAATTGTAAAACGAATTTTGAAACACAGTGTTGTAAAGGGTGTCAATTGAACAAATTTTATTTAGACCTTTAAAGGAAAATCAACTACATTTATATTGTAAATTATTTTTTAAAAATAAATAAATATAAGAAATGAAGCCAATATTTTTTCCTGTGCAACCAAAGGTGTTTTCCCTGCAGTCGGCTCATTGTTATGGTAAACAGTTGCCCATTCCCCCCGATTCCCACTCCTTTGCTGACCCGTTCCGCTCTTAATTATAGTCGCAGCTTAATCTGGAGCGGGACAGCTGAAGCTGAGCCCTAACAATTGGACAATGGCATTGGAAATGGCTTTATATATATGTAGGGGTTTAGGGGGTGGGCAGTACAGTAAAGTACTTTGTAATGCCGCCAGGGGGCGGGGCAGGTGTTGGCCATAATGGGGCATACGTTGTTGGCCAAAAAGCGCACAAGAGTTGCCAAACAAATTCTTTTGTTATTTAATTGTAACCAAATTATTTCCACACGCTCTTTCTTCGCCTGCTGCCTATTTCTTTTTTTTTACCATATCCATTGTTCACGTTAGCCATGTATGACTGTCGCTGCCTTCGTGGGGATCTTTATCGCCTTAAGTTTACAAATTTTAGTTCCTAATGAGCGATTTTAAGCATTGTAATTCATGACTTTCGGCGGCTGCCGCTTTTTATGTGGTTTTATCTTGGCATTTCGTGTGTTTTTGTATTTTTTGTTTTTTTTTGGTCATGATGGTGGGTTGGTTTTTCTGGGGGTGTGGTCGCTTTTGAGGGCGTGACTTGATGTTTAAGCCCAGTCTGGAAATTGGAATGGCAGTTATACTCCCTCGTCTGATGTATAAGATGACTTTAATTTATAAATTACAAAAACAACAGTGAAAGGTTTTTAATAAATAAAATTCTGGATACTAGAAAATGTTAAAAATTACATGTTAAGAAATGTAAACATTCTTTTAAATAAAATGTAGCTATTGTGTGTCTTATACATGTTATACCCTTAAAATTCCATTGTAGTATGATTGGCACTTTCGAGTTATTAAACCATGAGTAACATGTAATACACCCTACCCTTTGTAAGATTTAAACCCAACACTTGAGGGTCTTATGATCTCCTATTTTCTATTGAAGGCTAGACATATTAGACAACAATTGGATCGCTTGATAATAATCTACTTTTTGCAACCGCATCAACCTCTGCCCGCAAAATATCTTTCCATTTAGAGGATAACTCACTCCTCGAGGATTATGCCAAAAAAAGAGAAATTGCCCAATGTTTTCCAACATTTATCTAAGGACATCTGCCGGAGAAAAGGTCAAGGGATCAGAAAGCCTACACCTCGCAGTTTCCTTTATTTTTAATCTGGGCAGCTGGACTGGAAGTTGGCCAATAAGTCCTTAAGAAATCCGAGGCGAACAAAAATGAGTATGGATAATATTTTTATAGGCAAAACAATTGTGTGGTGACTTTTGGTGGAATGGGAGACACTTGCAGCTGCCCAAAGTATATCCTCAATATTCCATATCCTTTTTTCCTCTAACCGTAATTTCCTGGGAAAGCTTTCCAGTGCATTTCGCTAGCCAAAACACTTGAGCACTTAAAAAGGCGCATTAACTCGGGTTTCCGATTCCTGATTTCGATTCCTCTTTTCAACCTCTATATCTTTTCCTTTTGTTTGCCTGTGTGAAACAAAAACGTTTGTTTCAATACGTTGGCTTCGTGCATTTTACGGTGTTGGGAAACAGACGAAATGGACTCATTGATTCCAATTGACTGATTTCAATTGAAGTTAAGTGTCTGCCGCAGTCGCAGCCGCAAATGCAGAGGCACAACGCCGTCGTCCCAGCCAAATGCCATTTGCTTTTCACATCCAGGTCGAACGGCGTTGCCTTGTTGACTTTGTTTTCGGGTACCCATTGCCGCCGATTTGGGTTAAGTGAGGGGAATGTGCGGACTGTGGGAGCACTGGCCTATCGATAATATTCTGAGATCGTTAAATGAACTGCCTTAAAAACTTTGACCTAGAACTTTAAACTAAAATTATGTTTAGAAATTAAATGTTTCCTAAAATCTTAAATAAATGTGCCAACTGTGGGAGCACTGGCCCATCGATAAGATCTGAGATCGTTAAATAAACTGTTAAACTAAAATTATGTTTATAAATTAAATGATTCCTACAATTTTAAATTCATTCATTGATAAATACATAACATTACAATTGCTTGATTAAATTGTTAAATTGTATATTTCATTATTTAAAATATTTGAATTGTATATTTCTTTCTTTAATATATTTAAATTTAATATTACATAATTAAATTTACTACAATTTTTTTACTTCTGTAAAAAAAAGATTTTTTCGAAAGGAAAATTATAAGAATGATGCTATATCATTGGGAAGCTTTTTTAAAATATATTTTTTAAAATATTAAATTTATTTTGTTTTTAAAATATTTTGTATTAATGCAGAGGTGCCAAACAAATAGTCTTTATTAATTGATTTGCTTTAAACTCTATAGTATAGGATCAAATTCTAAAAAATTAGACTATGAAATACCCACTAAAAAGCATGTATAGAGTCTATACATGCTTTTTACTGGG